CACAGCAAAGGTGTCGACAAAGTAGTACTATTCATTTGCTATCATCACTTTTCCCCCCTTATTACCATCAGAAAAGATTTTAGTAGTTACGTATTTACTAAAAATGTATTTGGTACTTCATTTAGAAGTGGTATTTATTTTTTTTATTTTTTATTTTTTGTAAAGGAAGTAAAATTGAGTTTTTCTTAAAATCTATACACATAATAATTATTTTTATTTTTATTTTTATTTTCTTGTTGATTCAAACACCCAGGGCAAGCTACTGTTATAGAGACGAAGAAGCCCGTTGCCTTTTAACTTTTCCTGCGAGATACACGAGCTTCTTTGCCAAAGCAACTCCGTTGTCTGGAACAGTCACCATCGTTCTTGCTTCCGATCTTCCCGTTATTGTCGAGTACAAGATGGTTGACATGGGTTACACCCGTTTCCATGTGGCTCCCAACATTGAAGAAGATGGTGAATACTAAGCATAGTTCAATTTTTTCCTTTTCCCTTTTTACTTTTTCCCTTTTTTAAAAAAAAAAAATTGGCTTGATTATATGGAATCTGACTCTTGCCAACGCCTTTGTGAATGCTAGTCATATATGTAGCTAGATTAGCATTTAACTTTGAGCTTTCATACTGGCTTCTCGGATATAAGAACAACCTGCAAATGGCTTTTAAAAAAAACAGTACATACGATGTCTAGAGATAGGTATTACATATCCAGCTCTCTAGCCAACAACAACGAAAGCGCTAGACGCACCGGTAAAATGCTTAATTGACCCAAGCAAACTCTTTGAAGCACCAAAATGCCTTATTCTATACACACCAAGCACAGCAGTTTCAGGTATTCTCCACTCTATAGTTGCATGACTACGAGTGCTAAATTTCGAAGGCCTCGACCACTTGAATCTCACGCAGAAATCATCATCGTCATAAGCCGGAACCCACGTATCTCTTCCCTCTAAGAATTCGACCAGGGCGAATGTACCTTCAGTAAAGAGATCATTTCTAGGACAAGCAGACCAAAAGGTGGCAGTCACTATACTTCCCCTAGAAAAGGTTGAGTTCTGAGGGATATCAGTGCTAATATCTCCAAATTTGACACCAAAGGGTGTTGCATCTACGATAACGGGAGGGAGTAAACTGATCTGTTTGTCCAAGAGATCCGGGGGTTGTGGACCCGGTGGAACTCTTTGACCGCCAGCAAGAGCTGCAGCAAGCTTTTTGAACTCCTGAATATAGGCATCGAGTGTGTGTGGACCATAAAGAGTTGATGCGCCCTGAGAAGTTTGCTTGTCAGTTACTATATTATGAATCAATGTAGAATTCTGAGAAGCTACTGTATGGCTTTAAGCATTAAAAAAACTAAGTATATCCCTAAATTAAAAAAGAAAAAAGAGAGATATTACTATGTGGGTGTTGTTGAAGTTATAATCTACAGTAGCTGGCACGTAAACCCATAATTATGACAACTGTTAGCAAATATGAGCTTTGGCGGTTTAATTTGACCATAAAGAAGGATCGCAATGTGGAAAGTAACAAAAAAGAGTCCAATTTGGTTGAGTTTATAATAAAATTAGTAGGGAAATGACAAGGTGCTCTATGATGAGAGCTCTGGTAATGAATATTTTATATAATCCTCTATCTCAATATGGTTACCTACACGAGACAATTATAGCAGAGGATTATGTTGCGGCCTACTTGTAGGTTTTCCCATAATAACCTAGATTTAACATTTTTGAGTTTTGAATCATATATACATGTTAAATGCAGTGAGGTTTCTGGCTACATTACGCTTTTATGTCACTGATTAAGAAAAGACTTGTTGGCTCTCAATTATGGTACTGTGTCGTCATTTCAGTCATTTCAGAAAAATTAAATAAATCATCAATTACATACCTCATATCTTTGGATCAGATACTCTTCATAGGTGGTCACATATTGAGAGTATGAATTAGATAGCCCAGCAATAACAATATGAAGATCGTCACCAAATTCTCCATTGCCACTACTAATAAGTACTGTCCGTACAGCATCACGTAGACGCCTCCCAGCCATTGTTGTGAATTCTGTGAGAGGAAGCATCTTAAGACAAAATTCAAAATTAAGCATAGCGGGTGAATGGGTTCAATAAATACAACAAAGAGGGTGTGGAGGCAAAAGGTAAACTTATAGTGTTCCAGTCAAGAAACAATAAGTTCCTTTTAAGAAGTATCCACATCCATGCTTAATAATAATTGAGGAAAGCCTGTGTACAGTGCTTGGCTTTGCAAACTACAAGTTAGCCACCTAATAAAATAGGAGACTATTATATTGTGCAGCAATCAAACATTAATTATATAGAAACAATAAAACTAAAACAAAATACAGTATGAATAGATACATACCTCCAGGTACACACAGGATAGAAACAATAAAACGAAAACAAAAATACAGTATGAATAGAAACATACCTCCAGGTACACACAGGATAGAAACAATAAAACGAAAACAAAATACAGTATGAATAGATACATACCTCCAGGTACACACAGGATCACCATCTGTCCTATTTGGATAATCTGAATTGGAAGAATAGATGGCTGGGGGAAATCGCAGGCAACAGAAAAACAAGGTTAATGACAGAGAAAAAAGATAAAGATAGGCATTTGCAATGAAACACAAAAGCGCACTTAAAGAATTTAGAAAGCAGACTTATATCTGGTGTCAAACATATTAATTTAGAAGCTATAGGAACGCATGATTTTCGCATGCAACTACAACTGTATGTGCATGTGCGTGACTGCATGCTAAATCGTCATTCTTGCATCCTGATATGCACGACTATGACTATATATTGTCTACATGAAGCTATTCGAGGAATGTATTTGCTTGATGTGTATACGTGCATGAACACATGATTGTGTTTTAAAGTAAAAAGGGCAGGCTATGGTCATCCTCTTTCATTAAAGATAATGAAATGGTGCATATGGCCTTGGCTTTATGTGTTACGTATAGTGACATGGTACATAAGCCCTTGGTTTTATGAGCTATATTTTCTGTTGTTGCATAAAGTCACTATGTCAACTTGCTACATGATTAATTTGGCAGGCTCGCGCAAAATTTTGATTGGAGAGAGAAATCAGTATCAAACATCATTCAAGAAATTTATGTCATCTATAAATAACAGGGTCAAGGGGGAAGCATAAAGGAAAATGAGAATGTAGCTTACTGCCCAATCATACGGTTCCTTCATCTCTCCAGTATCAAGTAAGATCGGCTTTGGATGATGACAATCTTCTTGCTCTTTAGTGGGCGTTTTCAGCAAATTCCTCACCAGCCTCCAGAATGGATTGCCCTGATATGGATTAAAGTAGATCAGCACCAGTTACTAAAAATTTTAACCTCGAAGGATGATAAGAACCTAATATAAGCAACCTTATCATCCCCTTGTTTGAAATCAAAGGCTCCAGGTCCATCAGTTGTTCCTGCTGCAAAAGCAAATCCCATTGCAGCAGGACATGTTCTGACCACTTCTTGACCAGCGCCATTTGAAGGAACCGAAACTTCAAGTTGTGACATATCTATGAAGGCATGACGATATTCCACTCTTCCTTTTATCTGCTGGGTTGCTGTATTAAAGAGATCCACAGCTTTCCTGTATTGCCTATCTCCAATGATGCGGGTACTTTCAAACTCATCAGGGTAACTTGCATATGCAAAATTTAAACAGCTCAATATAATGAGATTTAGAGAATAACCATTACAACTTACAATACCAAGCAAGCACACAAGTTTTACCCTGGTCCACGTCCATAGCAAAGTTCATTCTTCCCATTGCAGGTGCTATGATTGAAGTCACAGGGAAGTCCAGTGTCTATGCAGAAGGCTCCTAGCACATTTGGACTTACATCTCCACAATTGGACTGACAAAATGCAGACACAAATTTCGGCCTGGTACCCTGTCTAAACACACTCCGCACATGACGTGTGGCACTAAAATACCTTGCTACTGTCCTACCACCAGAAGCCTGGAAGGACGATGCACGCTGCTTTAACACATCATCTGCAGAGAAATAGCATGTGCAAGCACATTATAAAATATATTATGCATGCGGCAAATATTAACTCCCCAAATTCTAGAACCCAGAGCTTTAAGTTAAAACTTACAGTTCTGATCAATCTGCGATATTATATTCGAGACTCTTCGTGGAAGACCATTTTCATCACTACTAGCATCAAAAAGATCTCGTGCGCTGTCAATTTCTTCATTGGCCTTATGCTTGAACCAGTCCTCCATGAACCGTGCAGCAGCCCCTTTATTGTCTCCGCTTACTAGGGAATTTGTGCGACTCATAGATGTTCCATGAGTTGCAAACCAATTAAAACTACCTACTGGACCCCATTTGCTATCAACAAACTTTAGCAGAGTCATTTCTTTGTCAACATCATACTTGTGCTTCTTTCGCTCTTCTGCAGGATTATTGAGGTAAGCACTGGGGCTGCGATTTACACCAGCATCAAGCAGCTCCCCTGAAGTGAAAAAAATCAAAATTTTATACCAGAAGCCAGCAGCTTATGAATAAGACAGCAGAGCAGCAATTCTCTGGACAGGCCATGGAACAAGAGGACGTTCAACAGAAAACCGGATATAGATTTTTCTCACATGGAAAAGCTTAAGAACCATTCGACAAAACTAGATATGGTTAGTACAAGATATGGTTAGTATTGAATTTTATAGGACATAGACACCAACAATATCTAAGCCAGAAACTGCTATTGTTTATACCTTTGCTTCTAACCTAAGCATGTAGTGGTACCTTATGTCACAAATCATTCCTATGGCTTAATAAACTTCATAGAATTAAATTACACTTGAAACGTTAATAAAACTCATTGACAAAGTGAAATCAAGACATTACATGGAAGAAGCAAACAAGACTTCATAATGTATACACCGTTATAAGTCAAAAAATTTATCAACAGATGCTTTCTGAATTCTCATGTATCTTAGTTTGATAATCCACAGAAATGTCTTAACCAGAATCTTTTGCACTGCATGTTCTTCAGAAAGCTACATCATTACCAACAAGGCAAAAGAGGCCATGTAACATCTCTCTCGTAATTCATATAAACCTAACCATCTTGTAAATTATTGTTGGATCATGTTTTAGTGAAAGTATGTCTGGATGTACAAGGAAACTAACCAAGTAAAGGATCATATTCTAAATGCTACCATTTTATTGTTACAGAATGTTTATACTATCTTGGTAGCTTCTGGATGAAGGTACTGCCTGTGACAGCAAATATAGATACTGTTTTGCTACATTATAATAACTCCTAGGACCAAAAACAGTCTTGAAGGAATGGTAAAAACATATAAACTCTAAGTGAATGGAGATGCTGCAGTCACAATTAGATTGCACTAGGATAGAACAAGAAAGAAGTTTATAACGATCAATAATATATGAAGAAATGTAGCGAAACAACAGTATGAATTCTTACCCTTATTCACAAATATTGACCCAGGACGCAAGTTTTCATGAGCTTCTACTATGGCTTTCTCAATTCCATCAACAATGACGTCAAAAGACTGGCGTACGAAACCGAATGATGTTATGATGTAAATAATATATTGAAGGTAGCCACCGGGGCCAGCATGAGTATGAGTGCCACTAATAGCAACATTTTGCTCATTATACAAATCACCATATCTGGGGAAAATAGATGCTAAACAGTCAGTTCACTAGCACTCTAGGCAAAACAGAGCAACTACAGTGGAATAATGGGCAGAATACAAATTCTAAATTAGTGAACAAGCAACATAGGACATGGACGAACTAAGCCTTTGTTTTGCAGTGTAGAAATGGCATAGCCATGACAAAGGCCAAAACACAACATTTGACCAAATTGTTCCGCCGATAACAATACTTATTGCCCATTGAAACCAAAGCTTGAATCCTAAAATGCTACAGTAAGCAAGTATCTGATGGTATAAGAAAATAAATGGGCAGAACTATGGCTTTTTAATGGTGTATGCGTTATAAGCAAAACTAATAATCGTACTTAGAACAACAAAGAAGGCCACATCAAGAGACCAAATTTGGAAAACAAATCTTATAATAATTTATTGAAAATTAATATATTATATGTCGACAAATTAATTTCCTAAAACCCAAATAGAAAAACCTGATTATGGCTAAACTGACAATATTATGAATCTACCAATATTTTTGTTAAGTTCAGAACAGAAAATGGATCCATAGTAAACATAAAGCCTTCAGTATGTGAATGCGCAGACATGACAAGCCAAATGCAGATGGGGAAAATGTTGAAATCCTTGACATATGCATCTTGATGCCCCATACAGTCCTCAATCCTGTACCATTTTGTCCTCGAGAAAAATCCTGCCACTAGTTATAGTCTTAGGAAATGTAAAAACTTAAGAACACATATTGTACATCAGTCCAAACTTGGAATTTAAATCAACTTCTTTCCTTTTATCATATCCAAAACTATTATGAGAACAAAAAATCAGACAAGACATAAAAAATAAATAATGTTTTCACCTAGACTTCAATCTTTCAATCACTTTAATCGTGACGATTTGAGAAGCCATACATGCATCAAGATTCACAAATGCTACACGGTTTCCCTTAGGTTCAGCAACAATGAATGCACGAGCTTGCAGCCTGAAGTGAAGTCCAGATGCAATTTGTTGGGTATTAGCATATCCCATCATATTCACATCAGCTGCTGGTCCAGTTATGTCATAGCTTCCAAGTCCAACTAAATAAGGGGAATCTGATGATGATCCCCTGCATGTCTGCAGAAATAGAACTAACAAAGAGCAAAACAAGCTGCTCGTAACTGGACGGTATATCTGACGTCGGATGGTAGAAGGAAACTCCATGGCTGATCAGCAAGATCCTTTACCTGAGAGAGGAAACAACTGTGACAAACCTTGAACATAAACTTAAAACAGATGCATAACTTGAAACATGCATGTCTACAACCAAAACAGTCTTCTTCTTTTTCTTATAGTAGCGGAGACAAGATTATCTCACGAACAAGTCTGAGCCGTGTAGGCACTTACACATAACCAATAAACTCTTTGCCTCTAAAAAATTACTACCATGACAGTATGACACGGTGGTTAATCATTAAAGATGAGAGTAAAGCACTTAGGGAAACACTTCAAGTCCACTACCAACCACCAATATTACCCCTTTGCTTCATCTCAAGAATTTCCCACCCAACTCTTACCTTCCCCAATTCTTTTCATACCCGGTCCTCCATCTATCACCATACCTCAAAAAGAAAAGAAAAATTTCTATTCTTAGTTCTTCAATTGCCATGTCTTATGTTATTGCTAATCTCATTATTGAAACACATCTTATAATTTTCAAATTCATTTTTGTTGGAATCCTACAGAAATCTGACAACTCTAATTTAGAGGTTACCCTAAAGATTCCACAAGTCAATACCACATAACCCGCAACTGATAAAAATGATTCAATTTGATAGTCAAAACTAAAAATAAAAATTCTTTTTTTTAAAAAAAAGGACGATAAAAAAGATTCAAAAATAGAAGGAAAACCAGAAACAAAAACCCTGAGGAACCACAAGCATATACCTAGCTCTGAAGAGAATTTTGCAAACGATCCTTTGAGTAGGAGCATGAATCGAAAACGAGAAGGTTTTTCTTCTTCTTTCAATTCATCGGATTGAGTTCTCCGAGGTGAGCATCAAATTTTGTTTGTTCTTTGTAGACGGCGAGGAGTTGAGTAGAGAGAGAGGAGCGTCGGTGTGGTCACTCGCTGGTGGTTTTTAGAGAACGGTGACTTACGAGTTTGCGGGCGGGCAAAGTCTTTGCTGTTCAGGAGTAAGAGGAGTGTCGGCTTTTTTTATTTTTTTGTGACCTTTTCAGGCACGCAATTTCCATTGCAAGATCTTGATGTTCCCTTGGTCTATGATCTTTGACAGATAATACAGGATTAAGTAGATGATTATATTTGTAGATGTTAGAGTTAAGAAAAACAATATCTTTTTCTACTCCTTTCGAGGCTTTTTTTTTCTTCTTTTGTTTGTATCCTGAGAATTACCAAGTTTAATGAGTCATTAAGAGCTGGTCATGTGTCATAATTAACTAACTAAGTCCTATAATCTAAAAGCTCGACCTGGAGTGAGAGCGTCGAGCAGTCTGAGTCTGAGACGAAAGACGTCATCAAGCTGGGACTTGCTAAACGAATCCAAGTTTGAGATGAAATTGGTCTTCTACTCGAATTTCTCAAACGACAAATAACATGTCAGCTTTGTCACCTAGTCGTAATCGCATTTAATGCATGCCCAGTGTCTTTATGACTCCTCGAACCAAAGCCATAATGATGCCTCGGACGATGCTGACATTTTCGCCATTTTGTCATTGTCATATTAAATACAAAGATGACTCATTCAACCGACCGGCGACACGTGTAAAGTGCAGTCTAACCGACTGATTGCACCAGCTCGGTCGAATTACCAACATGTCCCCCACAAATTCTTTATAAACAGTTGACAACCTCACTATACCAAAGTACGCTGAATAAAATCCCTAAAACTAGATACTGCATTCTGCAAGCTTGTTTAATCTATTACTGACTTGAACGCCGAGGGCATGTTGGGGGAAATCTGCTCCGGCTCTCTAACGAGTATTAATCAGTCATCATGCTCTCTAACAAGGGCATGCTAGGGGAAATCTCCTCCGGCTCTGTAACGAGTATTACTTGTGTATAAATCTTCTTCCTCATGATTAATCAGTCATCATGAAAGATTAAGGGACCCTAAATATCCGCCCAACTAAGCAGTTAACTTTCTAACCAATACATGATTGTATCTCAGCTAATACGTCATATTCCATGTCATATTCAAAGTATATTTCTGAATTAGCTTATATTACAATTTTCGTTTCGGCTTAAACTAAGTTTTTGAGCAAAAACACAAGTTGATTTTGACATCATTGAAGTGGAAAGGGGCTACAGAT